AATCAAGAGAAGAAATACCAGAGCTATTGGTAAAGATCACAAAAATAGAGCAAAGTCTTAGATTGGTGTGTAAGAAGAAAGAAAGTCTTCACATCAGAAATCAAATCAAAGAGGCCTTAGAAAACAGGTGTGAAGATCTCAAATCCAATCAAAAAAAGGATGTTGGACTCAATCTTAACTGCAAAAGATCCAGAATTATATTAGATTGAGTGCTAGCCAAGAATCAAGAGGGGATAGAATACATAGCCACTGATCCACAAACTATTAGAAGCAAGGCTGAAGACTATTATAAAGAAGCCTTCAAACAAAGAAATGTCCAATTTGAAAGCCTGAACCCCTCTTGGAGAGAAGAATACCAACCCAAAAATGAATAGACGCAACATGGTATTCACCACTAACAGAGGAAATTAAAGTAAAAGAGCTCGAAGCTACTTTGCAACATCTCCCAAACAAAAAGGCAGCTAGCCCCTCGTATATCAGTTACGAAATGCTCAAATATCTAGATACCAAAGAAAAAGGAGCTTTGTGTCTACTGTTCAATAAAGTGCTAAGTACCGGGTAGATACCTGAGAAATGGAAAAGTAGTAATATCTATCCCATCCCTAAACCCAAGCCATGGAGATGTCAATTGAGCAATACCAGACCTATCGTTCTCTTAGAAACAGCTTGGAAATGTTTTACTAAAATTCTCACCAGTTGGCTGTCAGGTATATGTAAACAACACAGAATCCTCAAAGGCCCAAACTTTGCTGACCTTCTAGGCAAAAGTACAGCAGAGCCCATTCACCTATTAAATAGTATCTGCGAAAAAGCTAGAGAAAAGGGAAAGGAGCTATGGATTCTTTTTCAGGACACTGCTAAGGCATATGACACGATATCCCTTTTCATGCTTGAAAAAGCTATAGATTGAATTCGAATCCCTGCAACCATCAAGAGGATTATAATAGACCTTTTTAAAAATAGAAGCTGCAGTATCATCCTTCCCAATGGACTCTCTAATCCAATAGTTGCAGGAGATGGCATAGACCAAGAAGAAACAATTTCCCCACTATTATGGAGAGTCTTTTATGATCTGCTGCTATGTAAAATCCAAAATAATACCAACCTGGGTTATACTATGGAGGAAGAATGGTCACCCAATTTTCACAAACCTGAGGAAAAGGTCAAGCTCTTCCTAAGGCAAGCAGTAATTGCCTACATGGATGACACAACTTAGATTGCCAAATCCAAAAAAAGATCTTGAAAGCATTCTGGAAGAAGCAAGAAAGTTTTACATAGCAAACGACTCACAAATCAATGCAACAAAGTCAGTTCTCCATACCAATTAACATATAATCCGACTAGAAACCACACCCTATTTCAACAGATAGATTATCCCAAGTATCAGAAGTAGGTACAACACAAGTCCAGCTTCTCCCACAATTGAACAAACACGAAAATCTGAGAAAAGGGAAACAAGTCCTCTTACCAGGCAACCCTACGGACTGGCAAATAATCACAAGGCCCTTATAGTAACTTCACCAATACTTAGACCTGAAGTGGAAGTCCAGGTGGAAAACTGGGAGGCTACATTAATAAGACAAGCCATCCAATCAGAAGAATATATTGATGAGCTCACAGAGGTCCTACAGTATAATAGAAGAAGTGCAGCCAATCAGTCCACTTTCTATACCAATAGTTTCTATAAAAAAGGGACAAAAGATAATGAGCTCGAAATGGGTTTGGCCTAGGTACTAGTAGAAGACAACAGGGTTGTTAAACAATTCTCAGCAGGAGCATCAACATGGCCATCAGCAACAAGAGCAGAAACACTGGCCATTCTAACCACATTATATACAGCTCCTTGAAATACAACAGTCTCAATCTTTACTGACTGTAGCACTGCAGTCGAAATATGAAAGTTCACCAGTTCACAAGTAGAGATACCAACAAGGAAATGGGCAAAGACTACCAACTGGCTACTATGGAGTAGAATCAGAGACCTAATAAAGAAAAAAGACCTTAATTTGAAAATCACGAAGGTTAAAACCCATGGAATTGATAAGTTCAACAATCAAGCAGACCTACTGGCAAAACAAGCTAGATATGAGAACCCAATAACCTGGTACCAACTACCAGAATTAGGGAAAGTCCTGACAATTGCTACATGAAGTGAACACACAATTGAAATCAGTATTAGGGAATTCGTCAAGACATTCAACAGGAAAAAGATTGGGAAAGATTGGACAGAACAGAAAAGGATCCAGGATCTGTGGATCCAGAGTGACAAAATCATAGACTGGTTGACCTTCTGGAACCAATTCAACCCATCCAATACCTTCGACACCTCTTTCAAGGCGAATAAAGATAAAAGCTTCCTGACTAATCTAACCCACAATGAACTTCCAGTATTGCAGATACTCAAGAAAAGAAAACCAGACATTTATACCATATTGACTTGTCCAGTATGTGAACTCCATGAAAAAACACTAGAACATTTGTTCGAATGTCAAGCCACTAAAGAAGCAAGAAAGGACATCTGGAGGAAAGCAAAAGAAAAGATCAATTGTGATATTAGTAAAGAAGTCAAAGACAAGAAGGAAGTCCATACTGTAACTGATAACTGGACAAGTAAATGGTTAAATGAAATCCAGCAATCTGACAGAAGTCTCTTTAACACCATCTGTGAATATATGGAAGAGAATGAAACCACATTCTTGAAGAACTACCTCAAAAAGCAATTCAAAAATTTTCTGGCATCCACATAGAGCATAATTGGTAAGCTATGTCACAAGATGAGGACAGACTTTAAGAAGGATATTTGGAACAGCCGTTGCGCCAAGGTAATAGAGTGGGAAAAGAAGCAGAATATTACTGAAGAGGATAAAAGAATCAGAAGATCCGGATATAGATCTAAAATACTGATTATGCAAGAACAGGAAGAACCTACATCCTCAGAAGATCAGGAGCAAGAGGTTGTTAAAAGGAAGGAGGAAAAGACATATACAGAGATTATTAAGGATTGGGTTTGTCATGAAATCAAATAGTTCAGTTTTTAACTGCAGGCAGAATTTAGAATGATCTATAGTAATGACCTGTAGACAATGATTTAATTGATTAGAGGATTTATCCAAGTCAATTAAGGAGCGAAATATCATTCCCTAAGTTGCATCTAGAGAAATAGTTTTTTCGATGACGGGTGAGTTAATATGTGAAAGTCAAAATATCCTGTAAATATCTTTATATACAGTATATATAATAAAGACACACCATGCTAGTATGCATCTAATACTAGTTACAGTTTAAAAAAAAAAAAATTTTTTTTTTTCATTCTTGAATTAAAACTTATTTATTTGATTTGAATATACTTTTTTACATTCAAAATTTTATTTTAATATTGATAAATCTTTTATATTAGTTCCTTGATTTATTATTAGGATAATAATAGTTACAAGATAAATGGTTTTCTATAGAAGCCACTCTATAGATATGTTATTATAAAATAGATTTTTCACATAATGCTATTCCATATAACCAATAAAGTTTTGACTTGCCAATATTTTTTTTTTTTAAAAAAAGAATTAAATTATACAATATACAATATACGTATAGTATACGTTTTTTACAAATATTTTTTAAAGAAACAAACTTTTATCAACTTAATGATATTTATAATAAACAATGTTCTTAAATAGAATAGATATAATTTTGATAACAAGTTTATTATTTTTTTATATTAAGAAAGTGTTTTTCACAAAGCTTCGGATGTAATCTAAAATCATATAATGCCAGAGTTCACTTTAATTGCTAATAATCTATTAATACATTTCAAAATAAATTACACTATTACAGATCTGACCGATCCGTATATGATCTTTGACTTCATTACGATCATAACTCGCAAACCAACTCTAAATCTTCATCACAATCATAACTCACCAATTGATCCCACGTTTCTATATTAAGACCACTTTCGACAAATTTAAACATTTCTTCCAAGAATTTCTCCGTTAATTCTCCCAACCAAGGTTTTAGCTTTTCTATAATTACTTCCCGGGATTTATATTTTTGGTAATATGACACTACTATCGATTGTACGTATTCTTCTATCACTTGATCATAAGAGTCGTTTAGGATGGCATTAAGATCGCGTGAAAGAAATGGCCGTAATCGGTCGTAATCTTTGTTATGAAAATGCACAAAAGGCTTCAGACGTTGCGGTATATTCTTTGCCAGGAGATTGTCACTATATATCTTGACTCTTTCTTTCGCTGTCTTTAGTGACATGGATGATTGGCTTGAATGTTTCTTAGAGTCTAATTTTGCATTATTTGAAACCTCCATGATCCACTTTCTAAGCTTTGATTTTTTTATGTACATTTCATTTTCCTCTGTATTGCCAACTATATAATCTTTCAAAAACGTTCCCTTAGCCTCGTCAACATTGTGAATAATAAACCCTACTTTACTTTTGCATAAAGGACAGGTGGGGGTTACATTTAACCATTGGCGAATACATGAAACACAGAAAGAGTGAAAACAGGAATTCAAATAACTCCGATCTTGAAAGTTTTGTAAGCAGATCGGGCAGTTAGAAGTGAATGTGTCGTCCGTGGTGCCTGATTGCTCGACGGCAGATGAGGTGTTGTCGGAAATGGTGTCAGAATCCTCATCTAAAGATTTGGGAGTTGTACAATTGGTGTCCGTTACTTGATAATCAGAGTCGGAGTATTCCTCGCTTTCAAAACTTGTAAAAAACGAACTACTGATTATCTCACTTTGGATGAAATAACCGGCCATATAGTCTGTGTGGCTCTCCATGTATATAAGATAGTGAAATTTACAAGATTTTTTTTTTCGAGTTGTTTAAAGTTGACCAAAGATTTTTATCTGCTGTATTTGTTTGCCAGCCTAAACCACGTTTGGATCATCAGAAATCACTTGTCATGTGTTAATTTTAGCTTGGGATATCAAATGATATGAAATACTTGTACCCAATAGAATTAATACAATAGGAAGATCCTATTTTAGGATAACAATGTCAAATAGTTGTGTAGTCTGTAAAAGCGAGAAATAGATCATTCAAGCTTAATATACTGTATATATAGACTTTTACTCTCTCCCTCTACATGACTTCAACAACAAATAATTAATTCTTAGTGAAAAATGTCAGAATTTGAATTGGAGTTTGATGAACAGAAAATCATTGATAAAGGAAAAGGAAAAGAAGTTTTAGTCGATTCGCCGATTACCAATAAGGCGGAGATAGGTGAAGAAATGGGGGAGCCACCTTCTGGTGGTGAAACCCTTGGAGAATATCCTGAATCCAGTGACGAGGAAGAAAACGATGACGACGATGACGGGGTCGAAGGAGCGTCTTCCTCGACATCAAATAGATATGAGCTTAGCCGAAAAGAGGAAGAATTTTTAGAAAAGGATCGATCTCTATTGGAATTTCTCTTATTATTGGACAATTACGAACCTCTCGTAAGGGGACATTTAATATTTTCTCAACTTTAAAAGTAATTAATTATACATGATTTTGGTTCTTTTATGATTCCCACTTCACATAATTTATAATGCTAGATCTTTTATTATTTTTCCTGTGTGTAAGATGTTCTAACTTTATTCCTTCCTAAAAAAAGATTCCGGAACTTGTGACTGAATATTATTTTTCCAGATCTGGAGTTCAGTGTGATGACGTTCGAGTGTTGGTGTTATTATTATTATTCTAAGAAAATCGATAAGAATTTAATTTTGAGCGCGACGTCAAGTTCACGATCTCACCATTGAAAATTTTTTACATTAATCTCAAAATTATCATAAAGGATGCGGCTATTGTCTTTGGCAGCTCAGAAATTCCTAGCAGACATCGCTACAGATGCATTTCAATATTGCAAAATTCGGCAACAAAGTAAAAAGAATGTCGGAAAGGTAATGCTAATTTAATGTTGACAGGGAATAAAATATTGCCCGGGGACTAATTACTTTTTCCTTGAATTAACCAACGAACTTCAGCAGCGCAACAAAACGGTACTGACTCTGGAGGATCTTACCGCCGCATTATCAGAATATGGGGTTAATATTAAGAAGCCTGATTATTATCGCGCATGACCAGTTTTTGAAGTCTGGTAAGACGTGATGAATTTACAAGTGGCTAGCTTCTTTTTTTTTTTTTTTTTACTGAATCTAGAGTTTTTATCAAACTTTCATTTCGGATACAACCCTTTGACAGCTGTGAGAGATGAATATGAATAATTTCGAACAGAGTCGATTCGCACGTGTCAGTTAGGGAATAATTGAATTTTTGAGATTTCGTTTGGTAAACGCCTCCAACATATAGAGAGTGCTAGTACAGTATAACTTATTTTCATTTTATTTTTTTTTCTTAAGAAAACTACAAAAGTTTTTCCTAAAGTAATTTACATTTGGTAGAGTAATTATGTAGGGGAATGCAAGAGGAAAAAAATAAAAAGTACTCTTTCCAATCAAATCTTTCGCATTCACTTACTCATTGTTGTTGAGTAGTCTGTTGTGATTGTTGCGAGGTTTGGGGGGTCTGTGATTGTATTGCTGCTTGTTGCGATGGAGGAGGTTGCGGCGATTGCTGTCCGATTTGTTGGTGTTGCTGGGAGATTGATTGTTGATTTTGGTGTGACGGTGTTTGGGTACCTTGTAACATGTGTTGTGCACGTTGTGCTTGTTGAATTCGAACATTATTATAGAATGATTGTTGAGCCATTGTGGGAGCAATCTGTTGGGTGGGATGACGTTGGACCGCTATAGCATTCGCCTGTCGCTGTTGTTGCATTACATATGCTTGAAGTTGGTTTGATGTGGTAATCGGCGGTCTACCCTGCGCAATGTAAGGAACTCCTGTGGGCGCCTGAGATCATGTGAAAGGTTTCCGAATTAAATGCAGGCAATGATAATTGTTTAAAAAAACCATTTCGAGTAATCAATCCTTTACCCTAACATGTGACTGAAAGGCAAGGGCCGCAGCCTGACGTTGCTCCAATAAAGCCGCTTGAACCCGACGCTCGTTCTCGGATTTTAATTTACTTAATTCTATTGGACTAAGAACCGGATGAATGACTGGAACAGGTGGGTCGGTAGTTCTTCTGCTTTGTGCTGTACCCGAAAAAAAGGTTAATCAAACAGAATATTTAAAGAGGATCAGACAAGATATCAAACCTTACATTGTTTCAAAATTGCATCCTGACGTTTCTTTACTGATTTCCTGATCACATCAAGCAAACTTGAATTTCGACGTGCTTTTGGGACCTCTGGTTTCGAGACTTTCTTTGGTATTATATCCCTCTTTGTTCTAACATTCGCCGTCGTAGACGGGCCGGCAGCTGTTGAGGATATTGATGGTGCGTCAATTGCGTTGTCCCCCGCTAACAATTCGTTCGAACTTTCGTTTGAAGTCTCATTCTCGTGGATAATGATAAATTGTGATAAATTTTCTTTTTGGGACCATCGCTGGTAACAGGTCCACGGTGTTCTTGGAAAGCCGGTTATACCACCGCGAGTAGAATTCCATGCGTCAGCTATCAATTCCCAATTATATTGGAATTGTTTCGCTAGAGTCATCAACAACTCGTCGTCTTCGGGGTACCAAATGCAAGGTGTGTCCAAGTCTGATCGTGGAGCTTTTACGTGAATCGGTGAACTCTGCGATGAAAACACTGAACAAAGAAAAAATGGTAAATTCATCATTAAGTTTTCACAAACGATCAACCTGATTATAATTATGACTCACGTGATGTCTTATTGTCTTGTTCATCCGATGTTTCCACATCATCGCCCTCAATTTTAATTTTCTTTATGCCTTGTGTATCTTCGCTCATGGATCTCTTTCGTGCACCCTTCACTATAACAAATGAAATTGGTTGCATTTAGGAAGACCTTTATGATTAGGTGACGGTTCAAGTTTGAACGAATGTCGATCATTTACCACTCCTCGGACGTCGATACATGCGCTTCGAGATAGGCATTATGCGAGAGTAATGAATGTAGTCAACATACACGTCTTTGTCAGACGGTCGTGGTGGCTCGTATGTGGGCAAATCGGGAAATATTGAATCCACATCGTAAACTTGACCATCCGGTCCTTCTAAACAACACAAAAATGCATCGGCTGGAAGGGAGGTGACTTTTTGTCGCAAACTCTGTAACACACTAGGCGCTATTGGAGGTGGCATTATAATGGCATCATTGTCCTTTGTTTGATCTGTGTTGATCCTGGTTGTCTCGTCATCTACCGATTCAACGTCAATCATCACCTCATCCGAAGATGACCACTTGGTCGGAAGTTCATTCAAACCACGTGCCTCATCCACAGGTTCTGACTTAATATCGTCATTGACTGCGTTTATTATGCCTAATCGGTTAGTAACAAGCATAAGCAGAAGGGACGATTCACAAGAAAATTTTCGGGTACTTCAAGTCTAAATACCATCAGGTGATGCCTCTTGTATATTTTCGCGAGTTTCAACCTGTTGCTTCGGAGAACTTTTATGAGGAATTCGTGCCTTAAAGAACAAATATGATTGATGAGTTAAAATCACCTTATTTGGAACGACGAAATGTACATACTTTGACGCACAATGCTTCTCTTTTATCCTTATCATGTTTGCACTCATGCCATTCCATTACCCAACGAGCCATATAAAATGCAGCGGCTATCTTCCATTTTCGCTCTTTCTTGAAATCCTTTTGTATCCATATCTAAAGTTTTTTTTTTTTTTTTTTTTTTTCTCTGTAAGAAGATGGAAAGGTCGGATCCTGCATCAAAAAAAAAATAAGAATTTACCATCTCGTCAAGCAAGTAGTCGCGGTGAGCATAAGGTCTCGGGGGATCCCTGAATGGTTCGATTTGTTGAAAGCTCCATAGGCATTGGCTCTTTAATTGATCAATGCGTTCCAAAACCCGTACCATTTTAACTTCTTCGCGCGCGACCTTTTCGAAACCTCATGTTCGTTAAGGTCATACATCTATTTCAAATTAGATAACGTGATGGAAAAAAAATTTTTTTACCGTCCAATTCTCTGTCGTTAATGCTTTCTTAGGGTTATGAAGTAATTTGTAGAGAGGCTGCGTAGAGTAGTTTGAGATAATCGATTCTCGATCAATTGACCGAGTTTGAGCATTTTCGAAACCTCTTCCTAGGGAGTTGTTTGCAGCTTGTCTCCCTTCACCTCTCGGCGTGACGGGGGAAGCCCTTTGCTGTGACTGTCTCCTTGGCTGCAAATTTAGTTTTAAGGGGGTCGGAGATGTTGAAAGAGCCGAGGAAGAAGCAAAACCGCCCAGTCTCTGCCGTAATGGACAAGAAGAAAAAGGAGGGTGGTGGTGGTGATACGTTTTATAGAATACGAATAGTTTTTCGGGAAAAGAGTTGTGGGCATACCTCCGCGTCCTTTAGAATCTCGTCTACGCTTTTGGGGTTTATTGCGCCGCTCGCCGCACGGGTCACCATTCTTTCGACCGGAGGAAGCGATACTCTTTTTTGTTTCTTCGGTTGGGCGGTTTGGTCGATGGGCGTTTGATTATTGCTATTTGTTGGTTGAATGTTTTGCGGCTGTTCTAGAGCGTTTTGAATTGCAGCATTTGGACTGGCAACTATCGAGTCGTTGGATTTGACGCTAGGATTCGAGTGAATGCAAATTGAGAATTTATACAAAGGTCAGGTTCGGATCGAATGCATAAATTTCGTGACTACCAAGCCACCAGAAAAATTTTCCCACTATTGTTATACAAGAAACAGCCAATGAAAAGTGTACCTTTTTTCAGAATCCATTTTTTTCTCGGAGTCCAACTTGTGAATCTGCAAGAAATCTCGTAATTTCGCCTGATCAACCTTCTCATTGACGTCGTGGATTATTTCCGTGTACGTTTCTATGGTATCCGATTTACTTAACATATAATTCATGTAGAACAAGTGCTTTAACACGGAATCGCGCGTGGCAAGTATCTTTCTGGAGAGATGCATGATTTACAACAGGACGCGGTTAATTATAAAATGATTTTTGGAATGAGAGAAGTTTCTATCATCAATATTTACGCGAATTAAGAAAGAAATTTACTTTAATTCTTGATTTCTGAGCTCTACGACCTTATTACGAAGCTCCCGTATATCTGACTATGATGAGTGCATAAAAATAAAAAGAGTGAGAATCGAGAAGGTGATTATATTGCTGCGCTTCACGTGATTACGAACTTCAAAAAAAAAAAAAAGCTATTTATATGCAAAAAGTTTTTCAACTAAGAGTTATTGTTGAAAACATTTCCAAAAAAAAAAAAAACTAATGTAAAAAATACGTGAGGGAAAGAAAGAGTGAGCAGCAAGGTGGCATAAGCCACCTCTAAAAGATTTCTAAAAGTCCGCATCGACCCAGTGATGGTAAGCATTTCAAGCTTTTGAATCAAAGATCCAAAGTTGAAACCTACCGGAAGTGAACCATCATCAACAACATTAGCGTCCTTCCCCTTTGAAGAGAGTGAAGCATCTGTGTCCATGATAACTTTAACGCTAATAAAGTGTAAGAGATCTGCGTTGCGACCCTCGTAGGTCACTACAAAAAACGACAGAAGAAACTATTTTTCGGACAAACTCATGTCATTTGGTTGGTCAAATTGTTCGGAATTAACTTCGGAACTGTTGTAGATCGAACTCCCGGCTGGATGTAGGTCGGCAGCCGACCATCATGTGACACAATGAATAAATTATGTACTACGCACGCCTTGAGTGTCGAAAACCTTTATCATTTTAAAATATTTTAAAGGAAAAAATGAGCAATGAAATAAATCCAAACGCGGCAGTTCTTAATGCTCGCGATTTGATGGCACAAAAAGATAGAATAGAAAATGAAATTCTTGAATTCGAAGGAATTCTGAGAGGAGTTAGTTTAAATTTCTGCGAACTCAATTGGTTTTGCTTTTCATTCTGACGCTTTTCGTAAAAACAGCAAAACATAGGAATGCACGAGCCGCTAATTGATAGTTCAGGGTTTCCACGCGACGATGTAGATTTGGTGGCCGTGAGGACTGCCCGTGCAAGAATAATTGGTATACGATTAGAATGTCGTTGAACCCGATGTCATGATACTATTTAACATTCATGCCTCGTGAAAAATTAGCGCTACGAAACGATCATAAAGAAATAATGAACAAAATAGAACATGCCCTTCACGAAATCCATGCAGAAAACCAGGCAAATCAACAAATCGAATCTTCGAGCGAGGCTGAAAATTGTACTTAACCACTATTTTTTTTTTTGATCTAATAATTTCTTTTTTTTTTTTTAAAAAAAAAAAATTTTTTTTTGACTTTATTTGAAGCGCGACAATCGAAGCCTTTTGCAATTTTAAACGCGATTGCACCTGATTCTCCGGCAAAAGAAGCAGTATGATCAATTTTTCTTCTACAACGTTCGTTCCAATTATTTTTATTCCTTTAATATTATCAAACATAATAATAATAATAGTAATACTAATAATAATAGGGATTAATGAAAGATGACAGAATCATACGTTTTGGTCCAATTAATACTGGAAATTTTCAAACTTTGCAGGACTTAAATACTCTGGTGTCCAATAGTGAAGGGGTTTGTTGTGTATTCTCATGGGCAATGCGCTTCTATTTATCATTATGTACAACTCATATCAAGAATCAATCTGTCATAGAAAACATTGGATGTTACCATCGTACGGGGAGAACCTGATTCCGAACAAGTCATCGCGTTAAAATTGATACCGAGAAGTGGTTGGGGTGGGAGAGGACTATTAGGGTATGTACCGAGTCAATTGATCCAGTTTATAAGTGCTTTATATATATATATACATATAGGGTCATTCTTAAATTTCTCCAACTATTTTATTGCAGATGTCACGTTCTGCCGATCTAACATTCCTTAGACGACCATAAGAAATTATGAAAATGATGAATAGTCTTTACTTAAATGACACTATTCAATGTTGATAATATAATTGTATTAGGAGAGCACTATTTTTCAAAACACACTCGAACCTTGTACTATATAAGAATGAACTCATCTGATGTATTATATTTCAAGAAAAAGCACTCGTGATTGAAACATCCATTCTTCATACGACTTATGAATGAACTGTTCTTTTATGATACAATGAAAAATGAAATTTTGAAGCTACAGATTGACATTATGTTATACATATTTATGAACTCAATTGAGGTGATGTTTTAAATTGATCGTCTTGATTTACAGAACAGATACTCATCATGCAGGTAGGCACGGATGCTACCTGGCGCGCTCATTTACCCTTCGTTCCATTAACCATCAAATGCATCCTTTCATAATGATCATCAACATATCGTCCAGCTAACCGTTAACAACAATAATTTGGTCGAGTATTCGTTGATACATTACGTGTTCTCTCTGGAATACGATCGACCTCTTCTTTCTTCAGCCATAAACCTGGTGTTTCAATAATCTAAGAGAAAAGTAATGTTATCGCCGAATCGATCGCGAAAGAATCATGAATAAAACAGTAAATACAAAAACCAACCTTTTTAACAAGTTCTTCGAATGCCTCGTTTACTTGAAATCTGGTTTTTACACTACATTCGACAAACAGGGTTCCATTTGCTCGCGCATAATTTTCGGCTTCTTTACGCGTGACTACCCTCTCGCGTTCCTTTTGACCGAATACAAATGTTGAATTATAACCGATATAACCAAAGATCTCAAACCCAGATGCCCTCAAAATATCACCTTATCGATTTTGTTTCCTACTATCATTTTCACCACGTTTTTGTTTGAACAATAAGTATTCAGCTCGTTGAACCAGTTGTCCAATTCCTTAAAAGTCTCTCGATTGCTCACGTCGTAAACTAAAGATATCAAACTAAATTAAGTTTATTTACGCGATAGTAATAACCATTGGATTCGCAAAAAACCATACCAAGGATCACCCCTTGAGCACCGCGATAATATGAAGAAGTGAGAGTTCGAAACCTCTCCTGTCCTGCCGTATCCTATGGGTAGTTTGCGTGGTAAATAAAAAAAAAAAAAAAAATCACCAAAAGGAAACACAAGGAACATACCCAGATTGTCAATTTATATTTCTTGTCATCAATTACCATATCCTGCACCTTGAAATCAACGCCTAAATTTTGATCGGGAATGTTGTGTAAAGAAATTTTTGAATTCTAAATCTAAGCCACAGGTCAATGAATAAAAAAACTGCTGCAAGTCTTCCTCACAATATAAATTAACCTTCCTCGGTTTAAAAGAGGGTTACATAAGAGTATGTCTTATCTGAAGAATATACCTATTGTAGCCGAAACTTCGTCATGTGGTAAAAACGTGTCGTCAGTAAATCGTAGCAGAAGAGAGGATTTTCCGACATTGGAATTTCCAATAAGGAGAATTTTAAGTGTCGCATAGTAATCGTCTCTCCTGGCTGCCATAAGGTTGTGGTACTTAATGTATTCAAGGAAATTGACAAAAAAAAAAAGAATTTTATGTGAAAAAGTGCAAATAATTCGATTTTTAAAATATATATACGTGTGTGCGTAGTATTTGAGGCTATGCATTCCCAATCCATATACGTGTATTCAGAAATTTATATTTTGGTGACCTAAAATCTAGACTTGCTCTTGAATAAAGGCTGTGCATGGTTGAGTCCGATGACGTATAAATTATCTGATCTGTATGAAAAATGGTAATGCTATAGACTAATTTCTTGCATTAAAATATAATTCTCCAAAGAGTTTGTTAAATTAGTGTAAAACTT